TTTTTTCTACTTCATTTACTATATCCATTGTTAATCTCCATCTTTAATACAATTTCTTTAAGAAGAGAAATATTTTATGAATAATAACTATTTATTAATATTATTTACCATTTTGTTGTTAAATTATCTATAATTATGAATTTACGACTAATTAATAACAATACGGCATTTATTGCGGCAATATTCTCAGCCAGCACTGGTCCAGTGCTGCGCCAGCGCTGACTGTCAGCACTGGCAGGCAGTACTTCGCCAGCGTTAGACAGCGTTATCATCCCAGAGTTATGCCAGTGCTGTCTGTCAGCGTAGCTGCCAGTACTGCCAGTGCTGGCGCAGTACTCCGCCAGTTGTAAATTTCCCATTGGGAATCAACTATCAGAGAAAAAAAAGATCTTGCTCTCAAGTTTTTATAAAATAAATTCCATGTTGAAAGCATAAGTTATTCTCTTTTCTTCTAATATATAGTTGATGTTTAACTTATCAGTATATGTCAGTATATTAGGGTCTTTGGATTAGCATCCATCAAAGAGGGTTCAATTCAATTTTTCATCAATAAAAGTTATAAAAATCTTCTAATAATTAAAAAATAAAACTTATTATTTGTTTCATATTTTTAAGTAATTATCGAAAATTTTGACTGTATAACATTCTATCACATCTATAACTTGTATACGGTTGGTGGCAGAAAGCAAAGTAACGCTTTGTTGAGCACAGCATGACAATGGTGTCCCCTCAAAATTCTGTTATTTGCATCTTATTATTTTATTTTTAATAAATTTGTGTTAAATTTACTTCTTATATGCAGTTAATGAAGATTTGATACTGGATTGTAATTTATAAGCAGATCTTATTCTCATCATTCAAAGAGAATTATCATAGTGAAATCTTTTAAAAATGTCATTGCGGTGTCCCTCAATGTTCATATTATATATTTTTGTTCATCATATATGTGGCCGTGTCTGAGAAAAGGGATCTTATGACGAAAAAAATCGATTTTTAGATTTAGACGTTATTTTCTTACACTTTAAGGTCCTTAAAATGAAATGCAATTAGTCCCGGGTTAAAAATTTGTTTGGTCATAAGGTCAACCAAAATAGAGTATCGGTTCAAAGAAAAATTAAAGATAGTAGGATCAAAAATGACATTTTAATTTTAATCACCCATATATAGTGAAAGAAAATATAAAAATACGAAAACAAATTTTGATTTTTGAAGAAAACGTATATACCCAATGGGAAATGCCAGTGTAGTGCCGATGTTCACCACTGGCATAGTACTCAGACGATTGTTCGGCGTAGTCTAGCCGAGCCTCGACATTTAGTGCTGGCGCAGTACAGAATTTTTGTTTCGCCAAAGCTTGGACAAGCCACGGCGGCAAGTGCTGGCTGAGTATAGAAAAATTGTTCACGACGCTCTTTGCCAACATTGCTTTTTTGACATAGACTTGAAAAAAATTATTAAAAAAGTTTATGAATGTTTATAAATATACATTTATTGAAAAAAATTAATATTTTACTTTTCAGTTGTTCATTTTTTATTTTTATTAAATTTAATAATAATAATTTAACATAATTGTCTAATTTTGTAAATAATAAATTATTTTAACAAATTAAAATTAAAAACAAAATTTAAACTTTAATCTCAATAATAATTTGGTTCCTATTAAAATACTATTATACTTCTTACTATGAATAAAAAATTATTAAAAAATTACCACGTAATTTAGGAATTACGTAAAATGTTAAATGCAATAAGTAAAATAACCCAATGGGAAATTTACAACTGGCGTAGTACTGCGCCAGCACTGGCAGCACTGGCGGCAAGGCTGAGAGCCAGCACTGGCATGGCACTGGGATGATAACGCCGTCTGGCGCTGCCGAAGTACTGTCTGTCAGTGCTGCCAGGCAGCGCTGGCGCAGCACTGGATCAGTGCTGGCTGAGAATATTGCCGCAATAAATGCTGTATTGTTATTAATTAGTCGTAAATTAATAATTATAAATAATTTAACAACTAAATGGTAAATAATATTAATAAATATTTATTATTCATAAAATATTTCTCTTCTCAAAGAAATTGTATTAAAGATGGAGACTAACAATGGATATAGTAAATAAAGTAGAAAAAAATTGTTTATAACATCTAAAAATTAAATAATAAACAATTACAGTAAGTGTGCATTAGATTTTCATATTTTAGTACCTTACGAATGGAATCTAGAAATATCGCAAACCTATGAAAATAAACAAAATTGCTGACGAGGGGAATCGAACCTACGACCTACGGACTAACAGACTAACGCTCTAACCACTATGCTAACGACACATGTGTACAGTAAAGTATTAATATCTCAGTATCATTCAGACATATAATTATTGAGTCAAAGATGAGAAAAATAGGGATACGTTAGAAATAATAAATTGAAATAAAATAAATTAAACTAAATTTTTAATAATGAAATTACTTTACTTATTGCATTTAACATTTTACGTAATTCTTAAATTACGTGGTAATTTTTTAATAATTTTTTATTCATAGTAAGAAGTATAATAGTATTTTAATAGGAACCAAATTATTATTGAGATTAAAGTTTAAATTTTGTTTATAATTTTAATTTGTTTAAATAATTTATTATTTACAAAATTAGACTATTGTGTTAAATTGTTATTATTAAATTTAATAAGAATAAAAAATGAACAACTGTAAAGTAAAATATTAATTTTTTTCAATAAATTTATATTTATAAACATTCATAAACTTTTTTTATAATTTTTTTCAAGTTTATGTCAAAAAAGCAACGTTGGCAAAGAGCGTTGTGAACAATTTTTCTATACTCAGCCAGCACTTGCCGCCGTGGCTTGTCCAAGCTTAGGCGAAACAAAAATTCTGTACTGCGCCAGCACTGATTGTCGAGGCTCGGCTAGACTACGCCGAACAATCGTCTGAGTACTAAGCCAGTGGTGAACATCGGCACTACACTGGCATTTCCCATTGGGAATTTAATTTAATTATTAAAAATTTAGTTTAATTTATTTTATTTCAATTTATTATTTCTAACGTATCCCTATTTTTTTCTCATCTTTGACTCAATAATTGTATGTCTGAATCATACTGAGATATTAATACTTTACTGTACACATGTGTCGTTAGCATAGTGGTTAGAGCGTTAGTCTGTTAGTCCGTAGGTTGTAGGTTCGATTCCCCTCGTTAGCAATTTTGTTTATTTTCATAGGTTTGCGATATTTCTAGATTCCAATCTTTAGGTACTAAAATATGAAAATCTAATGCACACTTACTGTAATTGTTTATTATTTAATTTTTAAATGTTATAAACAATTTTTTTCTACTTCATTTACTATATCCGCATTGTTAGTCTCCATCTTTAATACAATTTCTTTAAGAAGAGAAATATTGTATGAATAATAACTATTTATTAATATTATTTACCATTTTATTGTTAAATTACACAGCCACACAAAAAAAAAGTTCTGATCTGGGGGTCTCACTATGTAGACTTTATGGTTTTTGGGTCGCTGAATCCGAATCCGAGGTCCATTTAACCCCATCAGATCAGGATTTTGACATAACCTCAAAAACCCAATATGGCGGACACATTTTTGAAAAGTTCATTGGATTCGCTTGAAATTCGTTACTCGGGGGTTTTTGGGGTCGCTGATTACGAATCTGATGTCGGTTTTTCAATATTCAAAATGGCGGATCCAATATGGCTCACACAGACATATTGGATCCGCCATTTTGAATTTTTGAAATCAGACTTCAAATTCGTAATCAGCGACCCCAAAAACCCCCGAGTAACGAATTTCAAGCGAATCCAATGAACTTTTCAAAAATGTGTCCGCCATATTGGTTTTTTGAGGTTATCTCAAAATCCTGATCTGATGAGGTTAAATGGACCTCGTATTCGGATTGAGCGACCCAAAAAACATAAAGTCTACATAGTGAGACCCCCAGATCAGAACTTTTTTTTTGTGTGGCTGTGTTATTTATAATTATGAATTTACGACTAATTAATAACAATACGGCATTTATTGCGGCAATATTCTCAGCCAGCACAGGTCCAGTGCTGCGCCAGCGCTGACTGTCAGCACTGACAGACAGTACTTCGGCAGCGCCAGACGGCGTTATCATCCCAGTGCCATGCCAGTGATGGCTCTCAGCCTTGCCGCCAGTGCTGCTAGTGCTGGCGCAGTACTACGCCAGTTGTAAATTTCCCATTGGGTATAAATTATTTAAGAAAAGAAGGATAAAAGAGAAAATATTCCCTCTGAAAGAGGTACTTAATCCAGGAAGTTTTTTTTTCTTTGCTATCGTGCAAATTACGATTACGGTGTAAACATTGTACAATTGCCATGGATGGAAAAGAGACTTCTCGTCACTTCGAACGAAGCTATTAAGTTTCCTGAGCGAGAAGAAATAAAACCCATTTGGAAGGCTATATATGTATTGGTAGGGCAAAATCACCGACTCGGAGGAACGACTTCGGGATTCGTTAATTCGCGGGGGGAGTTGGGGGGAGAGAAACGTGACTCCCTCACTCTATAACCACCTCCATCTATTTCCTTCCCCTCTTCTCCTTCAAACCCCTTCCCCACGAGCTTTGAGATTCTCTCTCTCTCCCTCCCCCCCTCATCCTCTCTTCTTACTCCCGCTTTAAGAGAAACGGTGGCGTAAGAGTTGAATGCATCCCCCCCTCCTCTTCCATAACCCGCCACGAGAGCGACTATAATGAAAGATATTAACTACAATTTTATATCGAATTACTGCTGAAACACATTTCAAATTACTTGGGCGTAGCCCGCGCACCAAGGGAAGACTTTCTCCCACCATCATTTCGATTGGCTGTTTCCTTAACAAATCCCGCGGCTGATTGGCGGACATTGCATTAAAGGGGGAGAATTTCTGGGCGTGACGTTTTTCGATATGGCCGCCCAACAAGTTCCCCGTTGTTAGCAGCAGCTTTGCTTTCCCAGTAGTGTGGCCTCAGACTTGGGAACACGTTGTACACAATTCCCTGTGTAACGGTCTTTGGCCTCTCTCTTAATATTCAGTAAAGCCATTCACATCGGAGCATAAACGAAAGAGCCGGTAAAAGAAGTTTTTCATGTGCACGTGCTGAACAAATTTTTTTCCCCTTGTGTTTCCGAATCCAAATTTTATTCAGTGCTTTTTTTTGGTTTTGCAAAAAAGTTATTCTGGTGCAAAATTGTTTATGAAATAACTGTTGATATTATAAGTGATTGATGATATTGAAGCAAAAAAAAGTGTGTGTAAGTTTATTTTTTGTTTTATCTCATTGTGACTATTGTATAGGATTCAGTGATTGATGGATTATTAGAAGATACCGCGGGGGTGAAAGGTCTTGGAAGTGGTGAAGAAACGGAAAACGGAAATGATCAGCGAGCTGGAAAGCAACTGGTGCACATGCCAATTACATTAAGTGGCCAATTAGGAATTAAAAGAAGCTTTTAATTATCAAACCCATCGGTTGGAAAAATCTTAAGGAACATCTGACCACTTGACCTTGGGAATTTTATAATTCCCATCAGCTTTTTATTTTCAACCTCTTCTCGAGATTATAATTCTTCAAAAAACTATATTTTTTCTTTCTACTAGATCTAATTACTAGAGATTTAGTCTATCAAGAGATCAATGAACAATTCGGACTTAAAAAAGAAAGATTGAAGATCGTAATTTCTGGAGTGTATCAAGCAAGATTCTGTCTCCCAGGTACCTAGTGAGTCCTGGGGTGGCGACAGAGGCACCTGCAGGCGCAAGAACCCCGGAACCAACATCGTCCGTGATGACGGTCCATCATCATCGTCAGAACCACCATGTGGCGGCGTTGAGTGGCATCGCCGTCACCAGTAACGGACTCAATTTGAGTAGAATGTCGAGTTTGGATGCCCATCGTTTGGATAATATGGTTGATCGTAATGGAATTAGTATGGAGAGACTGTCGAATGGATTAGACTCGAGGAATAATAATAATAGTTTGGACAGAAGTTTGGGTGATGCTTCCACAACAATGCCCCATAGGTCGAGGTTTATGATAACCGATATTCTTGCTGGAGCATCGAGTCCGTCGAGTGTACAGAGTCAGGAACCACCTGGAAGTCCACCATCAACGCCAAGGGATCTCAGCGTTAGGCATCAGTCGAGATCTTCACTCAATAATAGCAATTTGGATGAGGACAGTGATGCTAGTCATCATGATGCTGTTTCGGTGTCTTCCAATGGTGAGTAGAGTATAGCATTTACTGAAAGTGGAGATCATCATCAATGGATGATGATAATAACCACGTAGTCACACTGTTAATAACTGTCTTCAAATTGGATGAATTCTTAGCTACCTTTTCTAAACTTAGTCAACTAAAAGTCGAAAGTATGGTATTACAAACCATTGAGGATTAAACTTCAAAAATCTTTTAGGGTAATACTTTTTTATGCATCAGAATCAATTAGAAATGGATCTGAAGTATTTTAATATTTATTAGAAACATCTTTAGGTAAAATTAAACCATTCTTGAAAGAGTGGAAACATATTTGTTGTTGCATTTCATTGTTACCTCTCAAATTGCATGAAGCTGAAACTGGCACCCAACAGCACTTTTTTAATTTTGGAAATTAAGTTTTAAAGATAAATATTATTTTGTTTCAAACCAACATCAATAAGTATTGAAAAATTAAGTAGGTCCTGATAATTATAGGTGCAAAGTGCAGCTTAATACAAAATATTTAACTTTAAAATTTAATTTTCAAAATTAAGTGCGGGTGCCAATTTCAGCTTCATTTGTAAGTATAGAATAGAATTTCAATTATCCGAATCAATTGGGACCAATCCCGATCTGGATAATCTGAATTGGCATAAAAATTATACATTTTTGAATAATGAGACTTCAACCTGCGCTGTTTAAAATAGAAAATTAATTATTTACTCCATCATTTCTAATAGAGAGTTGCTGGCAATCCGGTTAATTCGAATCCGAATAATTAGAATGTATTGAAATTTATTAATATTAAATCTAAAGTATTTTTGCTGCTTTAACCAAAAACTATACTTTTAAGACTATATATAAAATCATTGCTGCTGGCCATAATTTTATACAAACATGTTTTCGCAGATCAGTTTGGAGTCAACGGTGTATTGCTATACTGAAAAAAATAAGATAAATCAAATTCTTAAAATTTTGAAATTTAGAAGCTTATCCTCGATGTTAGGAATCAATTTTATTTTTTAGTTTTGACTAATTAGTCTTTAGTTCTAAATATTTGTAGCACATTAAAATTTTAAGTGACAATTTCACCTACTCCGATTAAAAGTTAATCAATGATTAATGTCAGTTTAACCGTTCATGATTGGTCGGTTAAGGATTTATTCATTGATTAACTGTTAATTGATGTTGGTGAAACCGGTCCTAAGTGCATGAAGTGAAATAAGAAGTGCTATAATTTGACAATCTAATTGTTAATACAGAAAGACTAAAAAACCTATTTTGTTGCCCTAACAATTCAGATTTGTTGTAATAACATAGTAAATCTGTTCAAGCAACATAAAATTTTGTAACAACAAATAAATTTGTTAGTTCTGTAAACAGCCGACTCTCGATAAATTGAATCTCAAGGAACATGAAAAAAAATTGTATTAACAATTCTTTTTCTATATTTATGAACGCATACACTTTTCAGTATTATTTTTAGTTGAATTCTAAATTGTTGATGCTCTTAATTTTCAAGAAACCATTTTTAACATTTGATTACGTTGATCAATATCAATCCACATTCATATATAGACCATTAAAGCATCAAAACGTATACGTTTTGCATCGCAACAAATTTTGATATACTTTTCTGGTTTCAGTTTGATATCCTTAGAAAAATTGTGTACATATTTAATATCAAAATATAATTGACGAAGTTGTTAGGTAAACAAAATAGCGATCAAAAGTTAATAATCCTATCTATAGTGTTAGCTAAAATTATTATTATTAGTAGTAGTTAAAGTAATAAATTAATCCATTATTAATCATGATTGACGGAAATTGAAAGAAATCAGAGAATCTGACAACCAAAGGCATTGAGTTACATGACCACGTTTTAAATTATTCTTTTACAATTGAAATATATTCATTTGCGGTATTGAACTTTAGAACCACATAATATCAAAGTTAAAAATAGTATTTATAGAAAAATTTAGAGACAAATAGAATTCGAAACAATTTTTATGAGGAATAATTTTAATGTAATGTTTGTGATGACGTGTTATATCGTTTGAAAAAAAGGAAGTACACAATTACTTTTCCAAAAAAATGGAAAAGATGTTTTCTTTTTTGAATTTTTCAACAATTGACTTATTTATTTATGTTCACAATGTGATAATTATGACTGTAAATTATTTATTCACCGGTTTGGAGGATGACGAAGGAATTTTTGACCCCATATGTATATATATGATGTGTCAAGGACATCATTAGAGCGTAAGCGTTGAACCGGATGTCCAGGTCCGACGGATGGACACAACACGACAACACCGGTCCTCTGGGAATCAGATATATGTATACGTATATATATACTTTTACAGAGATAAACGAATCGAAAGCCTCCTGCTCTTATGTCGGGACAGCGTTTAGGGAATTTAATGGTTCTAAATTGGAGCTCGGCACACCAACGCTTTAATTATGTACCCTCATTTGTTTCATTCATCTACTCTCCTGAATCTACCTGTCGCTTTGCCTACGGCTCATCTATTCACGCAGATATACGCTTATAATATGCTCTCGCTACATACATATATACAAGGGATTTAAACTATTTCCTGAAATGCTTATTTCTATATACGCACCAAAACCAACAGCTGAATATGTGCTATACATACATAATACTCATCACTACCATTTGATTCGGCATATTTATGATTAAAGACTTCCCGTTTTTGCGTTAATAGTCTTTTCATATAAAAAGAGGAGCTTATACCTAAGAGAGCAATTGCTGAAAAATATTTTAGGTCAAACGCAATCTTAGATTTCACTAAAGGATGAGTTTTATTACGAGTTTTTTTTTTGTATAATCTTAATACCCAAAGATGAATTCAAAAACTTAGTAAAAATTGCTTTTCATTTACTTCAGTATGCTATAATTATGATATACGAGAAATACTCTTTTTTTAAATATTTTTCAAGAAATTTTCAGTATAATTATGAAGCTACTAGAAACTAATTCAATTTTTGAACAGCTTATAATTAAAGACTATAGTGTATTTTGTACAGTATTTATTTTTCCATTTTGTAAAAATTTTTGTAAAAAAAAGTATGACGAAAACGAAGGTTGTCAGATAAGATTTTTAGTTGATGATGAATAATTTTTGATTGCACAAAAATAAATATATAAATATTTAACAGCGAAGCGTTCTTGGAATGATATTATACACATATGAGGGGAATTTATACATGTGTCAGTTGCTATCAAAATTGTTGCTTACGACCTAATAATACTGTTTTCATCAGTTACGCATTATCGGTAACGGTTAACCGCGCTGCTAATCGTTGCATGCCTATGTATATTTGCTTGTCGTTATGTATGTACCTTTATGAAGAATTAATTACCCAGCGATTATGAGAAATGTCGCCAAGTGTATAATTTTGTCAGGATCGATAATGTCGATGTCGATACTATAACTATACCCCTTCATCCAAAAAATGTCTATTAAACCGCAATATGGAAAAAATTTATTTATTTTTTATGGAATATTAACCATCTGTCTATATTGACATATCCCTTCTCTAGAGCATACTTTTGATCGTAATAAATATGGAAAAAAAGTAAATTACACAAGAGTCAAGTATATACGATTATTCGCTTCAAATTCACATTATTAATATATACTCTCACAAACTCTTAATGATTCAAAAAATTCACAAATGATGTAGGTAATAATGCGTGCTATTACAAAAGTTTTGGGTTCAAAAGTTTACACTCATTTTGAGCTTCAACAAAAATGACCCCTTTTTGTGTATTAATACCTCTATATATATAGTTAATTTTGTTGCATGTATCAAAAAGCAATACAGATGAAATTCATTTAAAAAAGCGATCAAAATAATACAAAAATTCGGATCATTTTACTGCAAATTTTAATATCAATACACGGAGAGAAATTTATAGTAGTGGGTAACATAATTGTGGTTAGGGTGACCATCTTTAATGCTACGTATACAGACAGCTATCTAGATAGTTACCGTTACCATCAATATCATCAGGAGTAACATCTTGGTAGTAAGGGGTAGCATAACTATATTTTTTTTAGCATCTGTGATGGTTGGCAGTAGCATAATGATAGTATCGTGTAACATCATCTTTTTAACATCAAAATCTGACTATCCATTTCTCTCAGTGTATATTGTTTGTTTTGATATATCAGTTGAATAGATTTATGAACAAATTTGTAGGTTTTGTTTTTCTTTTTTTTTGGTTATTTCAAATAAAGTTAAAATTGAAATTGCTCTAATCCATTTTCATATATATAGTTTATAAATATATTTGAATTATCAGCAAGAATATACTGATGTGATAAAATTTTTTCATTTTTACTGAGGTTTTTTTATTGTTTGCCTCTTGCGATATTATAACCAAAAATAATAATAATTGTCTTATTCTAGCAGATACAAAGAAATTAAATATAAGCAGTAAATGTATATTAAAAAGTTAAAACAATTTTATTTCCAAGTAAAGTAGTTCAAATTCATAAGAAATTTATCATCAGTTTTTAGAGCATCTCTTTATAATTTTTCAAATAAAATCAAAAATTAACCAAACTTGTCTGTCTTATTGTCAAAATTGCTTCTTTAATAAAATATTTATGACGCGTCACGAAGAAAGGGACCTGAAGGAAAATTTTATATAATATGTTTATTATGATTTAAGTGAAAATGCATAAAACGGTTAACACTCAATTCAAACTATAATTATAATTAAAAGAAAGGAATTTATCATTCCCCAATGGGAAATTTACAACTGGCGTAGTACTGCGCCAGCACTGGCGGCAAGGCTGAGAGCCAGCACTGGCATGGCACTGGGATGATAACGCCGTCTGGCGCTGCCGAAGTACTGCCTGCCAGTGCTGCCAGACAGCGCTGGCTCAGCACTGGACCAGTGCTGGCTGAGAATATTGCCGCAATAAATGCCGTATTGTTATTAATTAGTCGTAAATTCATAATGAGCCGATGCCATCCGATCATTGACA